GTCCGGAGCTCGGCCGGAGGAGGGGGAGCTGCAGCGTCTCAGCGATAGGGCGTCGCATCTCGTCGCTTCTAACTATGGGTAAGTGTGTTGACATCTTGATAACGATTGTTTTTTTATTTATTCTAAATGTCGCCATTATTTTCAGAGGTAGTAATTTAGTCGCTGTTCAACATTTTCTGGAGATTTTCTAAGCACGTGCTAGTCTATGCAACACCGACATGAAATCCTTAACTATTTTTTTAACATGAGACCAGTTTGGGATTCAATTTGGAGGATTTACATTTTGTACAGGTAATATGTCGGTTATATATATATATATATATAATATATATAATTATATATATATATAAATATATATATATATGTATATATAATATGTATATATATATATATGTGTGTGTGTTGTGTGTGTTGGTGTGTGTGTGTGTGTGTGTGTGTGTGTGTGTGTGTGTGTGTGTGTGTGTGTGTGGTGTCTACATTTTCTTTATCGTTTTTTCTTTTCATTACGTTATGAAATAAATTAATTGAGCTTCTTATGTTTTCACAGGACGACATTTATTGTTAAGGATAAAAAAGACGCGAGTAATGTTGCTTACACAAGCGAGGGCCTTGATCTGCACTGTGATCTGGTGTGCCTTCATTACAAGCCTTGTGTAAGTATAAGGGTATCCCAAAACCCTCATTTTACACTTAAAACCACATTTATTTGTTTTACCTATTAACCTTTTGCATTAAAAAGGCCAAACTAATAAATCAAAATGCGATTTTAACTGAATGTATACTTGGTTCTTCCTAGTTATATTTTCAGATATCTATTATCCAAATATCTATTTATTTTTTCAAATTGGTGATCACTGGCTCTTAGATATGAGTCTGGCATTTGAACGGTTCCTAAAATATCCTAATTTTTGTTTTCTCTAAAAATTTGTAGTTATATATATATATATATATATATAATATAATATATATATATTATATATATATATATATATATATATATAATATATATATATATCTATTGCTCTCTATCTATCTATCTATTCGTATATATATATAATATATATATATTATATATATATATAATATATATATATTATATATATATATATGCATATTGACAACACACACACAAATATATATATATTATTTAAATGTAGAGAAAGAGACCGAAAGGATACTTATCACTTTGTGCTTTTGCCTTTTCCTTCACTTCTCAGTCCCGTTCGCGCTGCAACGCAAACAAGAACAAGAATACACTAAGACCTTTCCGAAATAACTCCTTACTGAGCGCCTCTCCTCCGTTCGCGTCGCAAGGTCCAGCTGTTGCACTGCATCACCCAGTTTTCGGGCGACGGCGGCGACTCCATCCTGGCAGACAGTCACCGTGTCGCTGTCCCAGATGCGGGAACTTCACCCTCAGAAGTACCGACTACTCACCGACGTCCTCGTGAACTTCCGCGACGTCGGCGTTGACATGGGTTCCAGTACGACATCATAGCAAGAAGACCCATGATCAGGTGAGGAGGACGGGGCGGAAGGAGGAGGTTCCTGGACGGAAGATACATTTTTTTTTCTTCTTTTGGGTGATGTGTGCGTGGTTCGTGTACATGATGGTTGGTGTACACGAGTTTGTGTGCGTGATAAGCAAGAGGCGTAGCGCTGAAGACTCGATTTGTAAACTTCCTTGGTGTTACAAGTTAGCAGCTAGTTGCGTTGTCCGGTTGAGTTAATATAAAAAATACTCATGCACACACACACACACACACACACACACACACACACACACACACCACGCGCGCGCACGCGCGCATATATTTGTAAAAGGATAATATCTTTGATTTATAGATAAAAGTATAAAATATTTGAACAGAGATATACGATAAGATATATACGGTATATGAAGTACACAAATGGAAAAGAAAGAATTTTATCTAAGGGGCTTGGAGATCAAAAAAACTGTGAGGCTCTATCTTTATACTCCAAGTTTAATTAAATAAATCCAAATTAGAGGCCAGTGGGCTGTATTTCGTAAGTAAATGATTACACAAAGCACAAAAAAGCCAACGCGTAAATAGAGTATACAACATAAAACCGACATGATATGAAAAAAAAAAATCTAGAGTACTTACAGAGATAGCGCCCGATAGTATATCACTCAGATCCACGCCCCTCCAAACACCTAGCACGACAACCCTCTCCCTTTCGCACAACTTGTAAACAACGCCCTATATTTGCCCCGTCTCGTCTCCTGCAGCGTGAAGGCCAACGGGGAGATCAAGACGGTGAACATGAGTACCTTCGGTCGCGATTCCCACTTTGGCATCTCCCCGAAGGAGGCGATTCGGCTGGTACGCCACGCTACCTCACCTTCTGCGACTCCTCTACCGCCCCGAGAACCACTTCACCTTCAAGTTGGTACCCGGTAGGTAGAGGCCATTGACGCAGTGATTGTTTTTATTATATTTTTGTATTTTCTTTTTATGTTTATTTAGTTATATATATATATAATAAGGAGGAGAGTTAGGACATTTTTGTAATCATTAGGAAGTAAAAAAAAAATATTTTCTTTATTTATAAACGCACCCATACACACGAAAACATACATACACATATAGACAAATAGATACACATCATCATATCTAAGTGATATATTATTGTATAAGATATGAAACAACTATGCAAAATTTTACTAACTTGGAACCGCAGTATTTTCAGCCAAGATCTGTATCCTGAGAACCAGAACTGAACATTGAACGCAAGAACTTCTAAACGCATACAATCCAATTCTCGAAAACTCAAAACTCTAAAACTTTCAGCCTCTCCACTCACCGCCCTTTCTTAAGTCGGCTTATCACCGCCCTCCTCTCCCCGCAGGTGAAATCCTCATCATGGATAACTTGCTCTCTCTTCCGCAGGTGAAATCCTCATCATGGATAACTTGCTCTCTCCCCCGCAGATGAAATCCTCATCATGGATAACCTGCTCCATCCCTGCACATGAAACACTCATCATGGACAACTTGCTCTCTCTCCCCGCAGGTGAAATCCTCATCATGGACAACCTGCGCATCCTCCACGGCAGGACGGCGTACGAGGACACCGTCGAGGGGGCGGCGCCTCGAGGGTGGATTCTGGGACTGGGAACATGATGAGGTCGCGGCGTCGTGGCCTTCAGAAGAGACTTGGGAGGGCGTTGGAGGCGAAGATGGCTGTCGGATTTGAAAAAAAGGAGGGTTTTTGGTTCGGAGGAAAAAAAAAAAAGGTTATTTGAAGATACCATGAGGGCTCCTTATGGGCCGAGTAATGCCAATGTAATGAATAATGTGGGATGTTTAACAGCTTAAATTTCGAATACTTGAAACCTCGGGGAACTGCAGAAGACGGAGAAATAGAAAAAAAGGGAAAGAGAGAGAGGAAGAGAGAGAGAGAGAGAAGAGAGAGAGAGAGAGAGAGAGAGAGAGAGAGAGAGAGAGAGAGAGAGAGGAAGAGGAGAGAGAAGAGAGACGAGGAGAGAGAGAGAGAGAGAGAGAGAGAGAGAGAGAGAAGAGAGAGACGAGAGAGAGAGAGAGAGAGAGAGAGAGAGGAGAGAGAGAGAGAGAGAGGAGGAGAGAGAGAGAGAGAGGAGAGAGAGAGAGAGAGAGAGAGAGAGAGTGAGAGAGAGAGAGAGAGAGAGAGAGAGAGAGAGAAGAGAGAGAGAAGAGAGAGAGAAGAGGAGAGGAGAGAGAGAGAAGAGAGAGAAGAGAGAGAGAGGAAGAGAGAGAGAGAGAGAGAGATTTGATTTTGAACAGTTTATTTGGATAAATAATACATTACCCAAACATACCCAACTCCTTTGGAGTGACTGGGTATATAGCACCTTATAGATCCTTGGGCAAGATCTTTACAATTACGTTCATATCATTCTACACATGCAAATTGTTTATGTATCCTTAAAATGTTATCAATTACATTAATCATAAGCTTTGTCATTGGTATCATTTCTCTAACTCCCTTTCTGAAAGGTTCTGTGTATTGACATTCCATTACATAGTGTTTCAAATTATGTCCTAATCTTTCACCACATACGCTACACATTTTAAGCGAGTCTTCCATGGGAATATTGCACTCCAAAGGGTACTTGTAGCCTAACCTTAATCGTGCTCTGTGGATTCCCTTGCTCTTCCGCCACCTTTTCTACCGTAAATGTAGTTGACATTTTCAGTTACCTCACTGTACATTTTAACTGAGTTACTCTGACTGAGTCTCCTTTCATCTCTATTTTTCTTATCTATCCATGTCTTTATTTTTCCTCTTATTTGCTGCATAGATGGACTGATAGCAACATCTATATCATTTTTTTGTGCCGCTTCTTGGGCTAGCTTAATTGCTTTTTCATTTCCGCTTATTCCGATATGTGATGGAACCCACATAAATCTAGTGCAGATATTATTATCTTTTAGTTTGGTGTTTTGGTTTCTAATTCTGCAAACAATTTCATCATTCAGTTTCTTCTTGCCATTTAAACACTTCAAAGCTGTCTGTGAATCACAAATGATGATTGCGTTTCTTAAGTATTGATGATTTCCATTGCCATAGTGATAGCAATTTACTATCGAGAAGTCCGTCAGCCGTGCTTGTCGCTCTACCACAGGCGCCTGTCTGTTCCCGTCACACACACAGACGGCGGCTCCTGCTCGTCCCGTCACTGGATTCACGGAACCGTCAGTATATATTCTAAGAAAATCATTATCTGCAATTTCCGATAAAAATTCTCTATACATTACCGAAATTGGGGTATTGTGTTTTCTTAAACCCATTTTCTTAATATAGACTGCATATAATATAATATATAATATATAACATAATATAATATGTAATATAATATAATATAATATGTAATATAATATAATATAATATATTCCATTGCACATGCCCTGGGATATGTTTTGACGTAGCCATGTAATTCCATCACCTTTATCGCATTGCAAGTGTGGACTACTCATGGAAGCTCTCTCACTGGTCTCTCTAAGGCGAGGTTGAGGCATTTGGTTGGTCTAATATTTTCATTGTCCCTTATCAATTTACAGCCAAACAATTTCAGTACAAGTTTTCTTTCTCTTATTGAAACTAATTTTAATTCTCTTAATTTTTTTTATGTTTGCTGTTATAGGACACCCTAATATTACTCTCATGGCCTTGTTTTGTACATTTTCTAATTTCTCTATTTTGGGTTTGGGCAATGTTATTAACATGGGAGGAGCATAGTCAATAGGACCTAATATATACAATGTACATTTGTCTAAGGACATTTATGGATGCCCCTAATCTGTTCCATGTTATTGCATGCAATGGTCTGTCTACAATTACACTTTTCAATAAGTTCCCCACTATCATACAATTTTCGTTTAACAGACAGTTATACCTAAATATTAGTATTTCCTAACCCATTCTAGGTTTTTGTCATTTAATAATAAATCTCTTGCTTCGCCCCTCACTCCACAATGTGACATAACCTTTGTTTTATCGGATGATATTATAGGGCCAACTTTCTTACAAACTTCACCAAATTTTACGTGTTTCTTCCATTGCCTTGAATGATGACGCTTGTAATAAAACATCGTCAACATATCCTACATGTACCACATGATTAGGATATTGTATTTTGGCTATAATGTTCATCAGAACATTGAATAACATCGGACTTAGTACACCCCCTCGGGGAGTACCCATTTCTAATTTCATCACCCTAGAATAAGAACCTTGAAAGAATACTCTAGCTTTTCTCGTATCTAGATAATCCAAGACAATAATTTTCCTTTGACATGTAGTTTACATAGTTCAGATAATATTATTCTACCTTGAGCTTTATCAAATGCACTCTTCAGGTCCATGAATGCCGAGTATTTGCATCTGCCGTTTGCCAAGAAGGTAGTGATACAATGCATTGTACTTTTCCCAGTCATAAAACCATTGATATTTGCATCTAGTTTGTTTCTTATTTTGAACATTAGCCTATTGAGGAGTATTCTCTCTAAGGTTTTTCATAGACAAGATGTTAATGATATTGGTCTATATACCTCTGGATTATTAGGCTTTGGTTTTGGTATAATTACAGCTTGTTTCAAATTTATTCGAAATGTTTCTTGTTAAGTAGCTGCGGTTGAATTAGAAATATAATGGGTTACCCCTAACTTCTGCTAGTGCATTAATGATATCATATGTAACCCCGTCATCCCCAGGAGCAGTTGATTTCCCTCTTTTTAAAGCATTCATAATTTCCCATTCAGTGATCGGATTGTCTGAATTGTCAATTTCTTTCATAGCACTATCAATTCTATGCCAATGAATTTGTTCACTTTTCTGCAGTTCATCTATTATTTCTCTTGGTAGAGATTCCTGGGAGGATGCTAAAGCCCATTGTTCCATTAATGCATCTGCTTTCGTCTCTGCATCTGGGTGGGCTGCTACCTTTTTTGATGATCCCTTTGCTATTCTGATTTTTCCCAGATTTTTTACGAATTTGTTTGCCTGTCAATTGATTCTGTGAAGTCTAACCAATACTTCTCTCTTGCTTTTATTTTAATTTCCCTAGCTTTCGTGGCTAGATTTATCAATAATCTTTTAGATTCCTCCGTTTTATGTTCTTTGTGCCTTCTAGATGCTCCCTTTACTATTTTATTATATCTTCGAACTTTATCATCAAAGTACCACATATCGGATTTCTTTTTAATTGATTTAGAGTGAGTATCATCATGCAATAATTCTTCAACTTTTCCAGTTAGATCATCTGTAAACTCATATTTTCACTCATTACATAAGTTTCAAACCACTTAGACATTTCTTCAACAAAAGCTACTTTATGCTCGTCCTTTAGCATTAACCTCAGTCTGTTTGTTTCTTTGATTTTGTTGTATCTTTATCTCTGTTATCAGAGCCCAATGATCAGATACCAGTCCCCTTTCAACATTCGATGTAGCATCACAATCTCCATACATACAGGAATAATCCAATCTGCCTCCAGTAACATGTGTTTCCTCGTTTGGATTCAAAATCTTAAAATCATCAGTATTCTCCCAATAATGATATAAAATTCTACCATTAAAATTACTAAAGCCAGGAGATCCTAATTCTGAGTGTCGTATTTAGATCACCAACAAGCAGGGAGATTTCTCCATTAAGATATGGTGGAAACATGGTAATATCTAATGCCATTTTGTATGTAAACATTGGCTATATTTAGTACAAAATTCCCAAAATGAACATTTGTCACTAATGAATCGTTTCCTTCACCAAAATCTGAATCAACAACAGTTACAGGGATATTGTTTTTAACCAGAGTAACAAATCCCCTATGACCATTCACACTTTCAACTATAAATTCTTGATATCCGTTTAATCTGCCTGGGAAATCTACTCGAGTTTCTTGTAATGTTATAACGTCAGTATCATTTCCCAAAATATACTGTATTACTTCCGTGACTCTTTTCTTTAAACTATTAACGTTCCAACTCAACACACTCACTGTTTTAACGTTTCGATCCATTGTTTCTACAGTTATCACTCCTTTTGGTAATATACCCTGACAGTTTCTTTGACAGCATACTGAACGTTCAAATTTCTTCTTTGACGATCTCTGTATCGTCCTTCTCAACCCAGAGTAAAATTTTTGTAAATTGGGCCACTGTAATGTTTTTCGCACTCACTAATCCTTCCACCACCTTCTTCCTATTAGCATAATTCAGATCATTCATAAACGCTTTACTTTGATTTTCATTGTCATCAGAACATTGATTGTCATTGTCATTCGAACTTTGCGCTTCTACCATTAGGTTACTTTTGTTATCCACATTCTTAACCATGTCCGAATTTACTATTTCCGGTCTAATTATTCCTTTAGCTTGATTTTTTTCAGTGTTTCTATCATTGCCTTCATGCATTTAAGTTCTACCTTAATATCAGCGATTTCTTTTTCTTTCCTTGTTTCACCAGTGTCTGACTGCTTGTCTATGGCCACTTTGTCTTTATCACTTCCATGTTCAGTTTGTGGCACTTCTTTGTTAACTATCTTTGGCGGGATTGCAGTGATACTCACATCTTTCTGCAAAGGCTTTTCTTTCCCAGTAGCTCCTTCTCACCTCGGTCTTTTCGGGCATGCCCAGGACCAGGCTTTGTGTGGTCCCTTACACCCCGGGCATTTCAAGATAGGCTTGTCTGCAACGTTCATTGCCAGCTTATCCA